TAACCCCCCTACACCCCACCTAGACCTCACCCATTCCCCCATCCCCTGTGCAGGCACCGCCCCCTACCTCTTCCTCAGCTGTGAGGTCATGGTATCTCGCCTATTTTTCCACGTGCCCACAACCAGGACTCGCCCCGCCCACACTGGCCATACTCCACCCATTTCCCCGCCCCAGAGCAACTATGCCCCTCCCACCCACACCTCATTCATCCCCACCCCCGACCCACCCGCGCAACAACCACGCTCAGCCGGTCCACACCTCCCTTCACTCATTCGCTCCGCCTCCGCATGCTAGTGCCCAGTCCCTTTCCCCGCCCCGGTCCCTGTCCCCTTCCCCTTCAGAACCTGCCCCTCCCTTGTTCTGTCCCTTCAACCCCTGATTCCTGGATCCCGCCGTCCCTGCCCAAGTCCACCTTGATGCCATCGCCAGACTCCAGATCCCCTACTTCTCTGACCCTCCCCTTGCTCAGCTCCTAATGCTCTAGGGTCATTTAGTCGGCCCTGACATTCCCTGTCTTGCTAGTCTCTCTAGGCCTCTTGCTCTTAGCTCCCTTTGGTCCTAGGTTAGGGTGTTTGACCTAATCTTTGACACCTGCCCTGAAACTGTGCAGGATACACATACACGCTCCTATAGGCTCATTCGATCCTCACAATCTTGTGTGGCAGGGTTATATCGATTTTATAGATGTGCAAATTCACAAACCCATCTCTTGACAAAGTCAGGTTCTCATGAATTCAGGAGGCAGGGGCTCTGAACTCCCTGGATGGGTTTTTGTTACGAATCAAGCCCAGATCTGGAAGTAGAGCCCCGCTGGGCAGGTAGCCGGCTCCTCAGGCCCCCAGGCCGTCTGAGAACCATCTGCCTTTCCTGGGTGGCTACCCAAGAGGTGGGTTGTGCACTGAGGACCTGGCTGTGTTTCTCTATGTCCTGAACACTCAGGCTGGGACCTGGCACCCTGCAAGTGCTCAGTGCTGAACTGAACTCACTGCAGCCTTCATTGAGCTGGGGAAGAGGAATCTGACCCATGTCTTTCTCTCAGGGGTCGAACACTCATATTTGGGACCTCCTTTCTGAGCAGAGGAAGGCTGGAGGAAGGCTGGATTCAGCCATGTGCCCCATGGGGGTGTCAGCCTGTTCTGAGAAGTCCCCTTCCATGTGGACTTTGGAGTCAGACCTCCTGTAGCCTGGGGCAAATCACTTAACCTCTCCAAGTTTCCTAATCTGTAAAATGTGGCTACCCAAGCAGTCATTGAGACATTTAATGTAAGCTGAGTGTAAAGCCCAGTACTTGACATATGCTAGGTGCCTGAGTGTACAGGAGTATGTAAGTGTATAGGGGAGCCCCTCTGGTCCCCCATCAAGGACCCTTGCCATTACACATGGTCTTGTTATGTGCTATCAAATTGCGTGCGACTCATAGCAACCCTATGTACAGCAGCTCTGAACCCTGCCCTGTCCTGAGCCAGCCTCATTGACTCCAACACACCTAATCTCTTTGCCCTAGTTATCATGTCAATCCATCTTATCTGAGGTCTTCCTCTCCTGCACTGTCCCTCTACCCTTTGAAGCATGATGTCCTTCTCCAAGGACTGGTCCCTCCTGGCCATGTGCCCGAATTATAGGAGGTGGAGCTTCAAAATCCTAGCCTCCAAGGAGAAACTTAGTTTCACCCTCTCCAAGGAACAAAGTAGAGTGGAAGTTGTGGCCCCGGGAGTACCTATTGTCCTCAGTGGGACAGTCTCCTTATCTGGGGGGTAGGATCCCCAACACTATCTTCCTTCACTGAGGGAGTTTCTGGGTCTTTCCAGGCTCCTCACCGCATGCCCATGTCCCCACCCACCCCCAGCCCCGACCCTCGGGTTCTGCTCTGGAACCTCACACTGTCCCTTTCCTCTTCTTTTGTCCCTCTCGACAGGTCTTTGATGACTTCATCTTCATCTTCTTTGCCATGGAGATGGTGCTCAAGATGGTGGCCCTGGGCATTTTTGGCAAGAAGTGCTACCTCGGGGACACGTGGAACCGCCTGGATTTCTTCATCGTCATGGCAGGGTAGGTAGTAGTGCCAGGCGCCTTGGAGATCACCCACCGGATTCCTGGTGCCGGAGGAACCCTACTAGAGTGGTGGACTAAGGTTTGAGCTGCTACCTGAAAGCTTGACAGTTCAAACTCATCAGCCACTTGGGCAATCCTCCTCTGTCCTGCATGGCAGCTGTGACTCGAAATTGCCTTGAAGACTGTGACTCTTGGTGACAGTGACCGAGTTGTGTGCTGGCTACTGTGTGTGGTGGCCCTTTGGACCGTGGAGGTGGGAGAGATGAAGCCCCTTTGCCATCCTGTCTGGACATGCAGACGGATGGACAGACAAGCATTCATTCTTCCTTCCTTTGCTGAGTCTCATGTTCTCTTATATTGTCGGTTGATATGGGTGGGTCTCTTTTACATGAGCTGTATGTGTGACCTTAGAAGAGTCGCTAAGCTTCTGGAAGCCTCAGTTTCCTCATCTGTAAAATGGTAACAACAATGGTATTGGCATCAAGATGAGCATTGAGGAAATGTTAACTGTCATGATGAGATGAGTTGCCGGTGGTTGTCCAATCAGCTTAAATTTGTGGTGGTCCCATCTGTGTGAGGGTACAGCCTCACACAGATGCTTTCTTTTTAATCTTTAAAAAAAAATGTTTGTGGAAGTTGAGAATATCTACAGCCAAGCAAACGCCAGGTCGGCCAGGCCACTGATGCTGTTCTCATGGTGTCATGTGTGTTCCTCAGGGCGGCAGTGTTTATGCAGGGGAGGGTGGGGAGCTGCAGGAGGTGCGTGTGGGGCTGGGCAGTGGGGCACCCCTGTTTTCTGGGGCCCAGTCACTGGTGTGGATGCTGATGCTGTCCCAGTGAGTGGAGTCAATTATTAGCTTGCTGGCCCGATTAGAATTCTGTTTGCAGAAACTCAGAATGCCCTCACCCAGCCAGGCCAGCGGACAATTCACTGCTGCTTTTCTCCCTGGTCGCAGCTTTTGCTCAGTGTCGTCTTCTCATTGGCACCTGATCCACTTCTTGATCCTTTCTTTGGAAGCTCAGGGTTCTGGGATTGTCAGCAGTATCTGTTTAAATCGGTTTCTGGAGTCTCTGTCTAGGCCTCCATCTTACCGGAAGCCTCCCTGGACCCCAATTATGCCCTTGGACTTGTGCAACAATACCTGCTGTCCTTTTCTGAGCTGTTCCTCTCCTATTAACACAAACTCACTGCTCCCTACGGAGCTTTTGAGTTGCTGTTGACATTTTGATCCCACATAGATCTTCAGAGAGAGTAATGCTCGAGGCAGACGTGTTTCCCTCGTTAAGCTAAACTCTCATTTGGTCCATATGGTTTTCAAGCTGATTTTTCAGAACGTATATCACCAGGCTGTCTTCTGAAGTGCCAGTGGAGGGACTTGAACTTTCTACCTTCCAGTAGCAGCTTAGCATGCTAATTGTCTGTTCTACGCAGGGCCTCCACAGATACTGACAAGATTTCTTAAAAGTCTTTCTCGAATCCTGAAGTAACCCTGTGTCAAGGTATCGTTAAAAAAAAAAAAATTAAACGAGAAAATAAAGCTCGCACAAATCTCGAATGAGCAAACATATCAGAGATTTACTCAACTCGTTAATGACGAATCAGCAGGATGGTAATCAGCAGAATTAGGACAAGATGCACTGGCGAGAGGAACGGGGCTGTGCTATAGCTAGGTGAAGCCAGGCTGGTTAATGACCTACCGGGTAACGGACGATAACCTTCAGAGGATCGTTTCTATTGGACGGAAATCTCCAGCAGACAAAAGTCAGCCGCTAACATGCAATTTCATAGCGTCTGGACCTCTAATGAATAGTAAACAGTGAATCAAACAGAGGTGCACTCCCACCCCTCAGATAATGAAATAGGCGTGAGAGAGAGCTGTTCAAGAATTCTCCAGAACGACACAGTGAGAAATGCTACCCTCTTTCTGCCTTATTCCTGAGCTTGGGGAGAATTTTCCCAGCTCCTGTTTCCAGGCCGGTGTTTGCTCAGCTGGCTCCCCCCAGTGCCCGCCCTGGGTGCCCCCACCGGCCCTTTTGACTTGAGGCGTTTCCTGTTTCTTGCCTGATTCCCTCCTGTCTGCTCATATCATATTTGCATAAAGAAAGTGAAGATCTAAGCTGAAAAGAGAGAGGGGCCGGCCTGGCTTCTCAGCATGGTGAAGTCTCAGGGTGACAGCTTCTCTGGGTCCTCGGCCAGGTTGGCACCTTTCCTTGGCTGGGGACAGGCTGGCTGGCTCTGTGAGCATTCGATAGGTGTGGATTCACAGGGGCCCCACTGAGAAGGGTCCCACCCTCGACTTAAGACTTTACTGTCACCATTTTAGAATTTTTAATAATTTCCAGACAAGAGGCTCTGTGTTTCCATTTTGATTTTGCAGCAGGCCCCCAGGCTCCAAAGCGGGGCTTGGCTGGCAGTCAGGTTCAGTAGAGAGTTTTGCCCTAAAGTCCTGAACACTGATGTGCCCAGCCTTGTGTTGGTTGCTGGGGGCTCGGGAGAACCAGAACTACCCCAGTGTTGGGGTCCTCCCAGTCTTTTGTGCTGATAGTGGACAGTGACAGAGCTGGCGTGGGTGGGGAGGGCAGGGCAAGGCGCTAATGTCCAGCCCTCTAGTCTTGTTTTCCTGCTCCAGCCCGGCCCCAGGGCTGCCCGCCCGCTTGCTCTGCGTCCCCCTGCCTTGGTGCTATAAATGTTCTGTTTCCCGAGTAACAGGCCTGACATCTGAGGGTGTCTTCTCCCTTCCTGCCCCTCCCCTTCCCCAAATTATTGGCTCCTTCCTCAGGCTGCGGAGGGAGACACAGCAGCTTCGAGCTGGAAGGTTCCTTGGAGGTCATAGCCTTCAACTTCACTTGGAGTGTAATTATCTCAGCAGGCTTAGCTGGGACCCAGAGGCCAGCCTCCTGCTTGAATGCTGCCGCTGCGGGAGACTCACTACCTCACAGGGCGGCCAACCTCAAACTGGGACAGTCTAAATGAACAGCATCTTTGGGAAGTGGAGGGGCAGGAAAAGCGAAGGAAACCTTCAGTGAGGTGGATTGACACAGTCGTTACAACAATGGGCTCAAACACAGCGAAGGTCAGGCAACATTTCCTTCTATTCTACCTGGAGTCACCACAAGTCAAAGCCAACAATGGTGACTAATAGCAACTTCATAAAAAGTTCTTTCTTTCATAGAGCTGAAACTTGTCTTCCTATAACTCCCACCTTATAGTACCATCCATCCACTCATTCATTCACAAATATCACCTTTTTAAAAAAATATTTTATTAATTTTAATGAACATTTACAGAGATTTTGGATTTTCATTCATTCATTGTTGCACTTTTTTCTTTACCCCCCCCCCTCCCCAGTTCACTCCTCTCTTTGAAAAGCAAAAGATAAACTTCTTCGTTGGTATACAATCCCCTCGCCCCCGACCCTGCCCCCGCCTCCAGCCCCAAATGCATTCCACTATGCAATCTTAATTCTGGATTCCTGTGATAATCATAATATGCTATCATATATCACTTTTAAACTGTTCTCTCCCTCATCTGTTTCAATTCAGTATACATAATCTATCCAGTTTTTCTAGTTTTACCTCAACCCCAATGCCAGTCCCATTCTACAACAGTGGCACCATGCAGTATTTGTCCTTTTGTGACTGGGATACTTCACTCAGCATACTGTCCTCCAGGGTCACCCATTTTGAATAATATTGCATGAGTTCCTTGTTTTTCAATGCAGCACAGTATTCCATTGTGTGAATATACTACAGCTTCTGTATCCATTTGTTTGTTGATGGGCACTTAGATTGTTTCCAACTCCTTTATATTGTGAATAAAGCCACGATAAACATGGGTGTGCATATGTCTGCTTGGATGTACAAATATCACCTTTAATGAGCACGTTCCACATGCTCTGGGTGCCTAGGGAACTCCGGTGTCCTGGTTGAGTTAAGAAGCTGTGCTGCAATCCCAAAAACATGCTGTTCAAATCCACCAGCTGCTCTGCAGGAAAAAGATGGGTAGTCACCTCCTGTGTGATGAACTGCCTCTGAAACTGCTGGGGGGTCAGCTGTACGTCGTTTCTGACTCTGTGGTACACAACAACAACAACAAACCAACAACGTAACTCCCGCCTAATACCATCCAATATGTGGTACCATCCATCCCACTCATTCATTCACAGAATCACATTTACGGAGCGCATACTACTACATGTCAGGCACAGTGCTGGGCACGTGGAAAAATAGGCGAGATACCATGACCTCATGGAGCTCACAGCTGAGGAAGAGATCGGGGACGGATAATCCCTGAGAAATTCTAGATGGTGCTCAGTGCTATCACAGAGAGGCCCAGAAGGCGGCTGGGTGTTGAGGGCTCACTCCTGCAGGGAAGGCCGAGGGAGAGCTGACCAGGTATAAGGTGTGGGGAAGGATGTCCCAGGCAGAGGGAACAGCATGCCTAAGGTGGATATTTGAGGAAGAGATGGGAGAATGGAAGGAGATATTGGAGCCTAGGGACTTGGGGCCCAGAGGCAGCTGGGAGGGACGTCACTGACACACTCCTGGCAGAAGTCAGAAGGCAGCAGCTTCACTCTCTTTCTCCAGGTGACATGTCCCAGCACTTCCCACAATTCTCAAAGGCCGGTGTTCCCTGAGGTACCCCTGGTGGACTCAGTTCTAGCTGTCATGGCCCCTCTTGCTTATGGCAGAAGACAGGACTGAATGGTTCCTCACCCTGCACTGGAGTTTTCTGGTTGGGATGGGGCTTGTTGGGGGACACGCGGCGTGGTTTGGTGGTGACCTGTGGTTGAGGCGTGTGCCCTGCAGCCCCCAGGCCATGCTTATCCCAATACTTGTTTTTCCCCACCGTGGAACTAACCACAGCGGAGGTTTTGAGCCCCAGCACCCCGCTGGTGTTGACCTTGATTTCATCCTGCAGTGGTGTCCTGGCACCCTGATTCAGGCTTCCACTGTGTTTGGTCAGCCCTGGACCTCAGGACCTGGGCTACCTCACT